AAAAAAAAAAAAAAAAGGTATGAGAAAAACATTACTTAACAAACTATAAGAATTAATAAAAAAAATGACATTTTGTGTATGAAAGTATTGTAATGTTAACTGATAATCTGCCAAATTTGGTTAACATACACTTACTAGTTTAAAAGTTATAGCATGAAAACTATAACAAGCACAAAATGGTTATGAGGTCAGTCAGATGGACTGAGCCCATGCTGAAAGGGTTAATGGCATGCAATTTAAATAATAAATAAATTAAGAATACATTTTTTATTTCCCCCCATGGTTCCAGATTTGTGGGATATCCTGTATTATTTTAAAACAAGTGGATTGTGTGCTGTTTGTTTATTGTTGAGATTGATTACTAACATGTCACAGACACCTACTGTAAAGAATCCAGCCCTATACCTAAAACCTGAGAGATAAAAATAAGTCAGTCTGCAAATCTGTAAGTTAATGACAAGCATAGCCAAGTCCATGATCAGTGCGACAGTCTGGGGGGAGTGGAGGAAATGGGCAATTTGTAAAGGAAATCTAGTGCATTTTAACTTACTATTTAAATAGTTATCCAGAATTAATATTAAGATTATTGTTTCTATATTGTATCTCCTATATTTGTACACTAATAACAGTAGAAAAACTGCTAGCTTTCTATAACAGGACTTTGAATTACTTCCACTACATTATTATTTCAATCTGATGTTTTTCCAGATAGGAAGTATTGATTTTATATAAACCTTTAATACATTAATATATATAAAGACAAAATGTGTGTTTGTTTGCACCCTAACTCCTCCGAGCCTATTGGGCTGCTCTCCACCAACATTTGTATGTAAACAATATGATCTATGGGGAATGTCCTAAGGGGGTCAAAATTGAACTAAGCCCTATTTCTATTCTGTAAAGCCTGTTGGTTAAATACTCCCAGCCTATTGAGTCAATCTCAAACGATCTTGACAGGTTGATGTTTTAGTCAATTTTGAATATTTTAAATGGATTTAAAGTCAAAGTACAAAAGCTGTTGGATTGTTTCTCAAACAACCATGCTTTTCTCATGGTCAATGAGATATAGGGGGTTCAAAGGTGGGATCACCTCAAAAGCTTTATTTGTTGGTAGATGGAAAGCAAATTGCAAATGTTGTTTATGAAGAAGCTTTGTTATAATTTTAAAATTTTGAAATAATTTTTATGTTCAAGTTATTACTTTGAAATATATTATTGCTGTTAAACTTGCATTGTTTTAATTAAGTTTAAACATTTCCCGTCAGTTTATGGGTATTTCAGCTTGACAGAGATAAATTCATTTCCAGCCTCCAGCTCAACTTGTGAATGACCACAACATGTTTACAGAAGTGGAAAACCACATACTGGATGCATATTATTAACTCTGTATAATTCACATTATTTCTTCTTGTTTAAAAAACGACCATCTTTTTAAACTCTATCATAATCATAGCAAAGCTTGGGGAAAATGCCTATGCAATTTTACATAAATGTTGGAGACAAAAAGTTCAGTCAAATACATAAAAAAAAAGGGAACTCACATCTCTCATCATTTTGACAGCTTCTTTAAGTTTTCCAAGTTTTCTAGCACACATTGCCAGTCTTCTTCTAATATATACTAGTACATTTGTGTCTCGTCCTACGGGGTACATTGAAAACACAGCACACACAATTACTCAACTTGCACATACACATGTAACAACTTCTTAATCTATAAGTAAATTATGATGAAGCACTTTTGTTTCTAATAATGATACAAAGGATGTTTACTGTACTTACTCCTTAGTGCATCATACTGGGCTGTTTGATGTTGGAGTTGCTGACTCTTCCTATATTGAGTTTCGGCAACTTTTAAAGCTTGCTTAAACAGCTTTTCTGCCTGAAATAAAATCTAAAAAATCAGCATTCCCAAAATACTTAAATAAAAAAAAGTTAAGAGAAATCTAAACAATCACACATGTTGAATGCTAGTTTTTTCATGGCTAGCTATTTAAATAAAGGTTGCAATAAAGAAACTTCTTACAAGTATAAATATTATAGAAACTATATATTTGTTTAAATATGTTTATAAATACCTGATTATATGCTAGATAATTCAGTCACCACCACCAGCTTAAAAATATTAAAAATTATGAATATAAGGCTTAAAATTAACACTTCCAATTGTCTAAAATGGGCAATATTGTGTTCAGAAAAGTGGTTTTAGACATCCACTACTTTGCCCAATGAGAGCCTACTGTCATGCTTGAATGCACCTGCGTGTTGATGGTGGCCGGAATGGCCTAGAAACGTGCTTGCAGTGTTGTCTCTTGCTGGATCAGCATGCCAGGAAATGTTTGTAAACACAGGATGTCAATGGTTATGTCCATCTCTAAAGAGCCTTTGTTTTTTTAATAAAAATCCCTCATTTGTATGTACATTTAGATTTATATAGATACTACTTCACTACATTCAGTGTAGTTCAGTTTTTGTGTGACATATTGCCAATCAATGAATCCATCCTAACCAGAAAACAAGTGATATAGTAATGAAATTTCCAAGCATAATAATTATTAATCATCGGAGTTTCCCATATTCTTACCACTGGTTATCTCTATATCTAGACAGTGCTAGATATTAAAAAATATTTAGAGTCCCAAGCATTATTTTACAATAAACTTTCCTCACTGTTAGTATTAGTAATCTATTTTTTGTCACATTTTGCCCATTTGTATTTTGGATAAGTGGAACTTCTTTTGGATGAGTGAGTTGCAAAACAAGCTCCTTCAATATACGAGTAAATGAAAAAAAATTGAAATTTTGAGCCCTTCATAATATACGTATATATTTAAATTTACATCTACTGTACAATGTCATCTAAATTTGCACCATCACAGAATGGACTGTGTCCATTGAAATTTTTCGAGATGAAGGGAAATAGAAAATGCATGATAAGATCATTAAGGTTTGGTTGATCAAGTTGTGCACATCAATGTCTCTCCTGAAGACAAGTAAAGAAATCACAGTGTGATTATAAAACCAACAGAGACACTGATGGTAATAGCTTTCAGTTGTGTAATAAGCAGCATATATTGGTCAACCAGCAGTGCTACTCTTCTATGAACTGTCCATCAAAAAACCTATCCTTTCTGTATAAGGAAAACTGCCAAACGATGACAGAATTAGCAGTTTTGAAAAATGTCTCTTATAAAGACATAAAAAGGAATGGTAAGAACTGATCAACCCTTAATGTTTTCTAAATTGACACAAAATGTACAGTTCTAATGTATCAGTGTGGCTATTTTCATCTAGTTTGTTCAAGAGATCTTGGCATGGATTTCTATGAGCAAGGAGAAGACCATATCAGTTTTTGCATGTTAAAACTGGTGGAACTGGTACAAAGCACTCATTGGTGCTACTGATAGGGACAGAGACAGGAGTAGATGTGGATTTATTCACTTTTTGTATATAGTGGGCAAAAGAGCATTCACATGGTTGGAGAATAACTGTTTAAGAAACAGAGATTTCTCTGCACACTAGCTTTAGCAGTGGAATGGAGAACAGCAGCATAATTCTGTTTCAGAGTAACTGTTATTAACCTCATTGCCTTAGAGTAAGAGATGTTATATATAGTTTTTGTTTCCTCTACTACTATCTCTTCCATCTTTTTTTACACAACACATGATCTAAAGTAAGAGAGGTGGTAACCAGTGCAATTTATGGTTCCAACTGGCACTTGTTGCTATCAAGAAAAGTCCACCTTTTGAAAGTGCTCGGGTTATAGGGTTTTTATCATCTTGATTACAGTGCTAGTATTTCAATGACATTACGAATATTACTGGACTGCGTAAAAAAACATTTTTTGTTATTGTTGGGCAAAACACATAGGTTGTGATGCCTTACCTCAATAATAGTAGTAGCCTCTTCTTCTGCCAGTAGTATATAAGCTGGTGCACAACTGAATTGATTAATTAAAAACAATATTTCAGAACCTCGCTAAAAAATGATCGCTGATCTTAACTACCACAGTGAAAATTAAGTAAAATAATAACAATACTTCAAAGTACAAAATAAACAATACCATATATATATATATATATATATTGGTTAAATTAACAAAAGAAAATATAAACCAAACTTTTGTAACAAAATATTAATATAAAGAACAGGAAACCAGTTTTGACATGAGTGTTGAAACTAGTTTCCTATTCTTTGTACTAATATTTTGTTCCAACAGTGTTGTTTACTTTTTCCTTAATTTAAATATCAATACTTTATTTCGGTTAGTGCAATATGCTTCATCCAGAAGAGGTAATTTAAAGATGACATTTGAAACTGAACTTCTACCTGTGGTAACACATATATGATGGTCCAAGCTGTCCATCTTCCGTCAATTCTTTGGAGATATTTTCTAACTGAGCATTTACTTATACTAGTACAGTTTAAAGTGCTGTTTGCAAACAACTACAGGTAAGCAAAGCTTCTTACACTTTCCAAAATAAATTATTACCCACCGCATAAGACCTACTTTAGGTAAAATATATGAAAAAAAGGACTATCATATTTTATAAGCAAGTTTTGTATTTAATTTTATTTCTGATGGCATTAGAGAAATGCACATTCATATTAACCCTTTTGCACTGGGTACCCCTTTGAACACTTTTCTGTAGAAGTCACTGTATTACATTTGAAATTTAATTAACTCTTTCAGCATGGGCTCGGTCCCTGGAACTGACCTCATAACCATTTTGTTATAGTATTCATGCTATAACTTTTAACTTAGCAAGAGTATGTTAACACAATTTGGCAGATTATCAGTAAACGTTACAATGCTTTCATACACAAAATATCAAATATTTTTATAAAGTCTTAAGGTTTGTTAAGCAACGTTTTCTCATGCCTTTTTTTCTTTCTGCATGTTGCCTATCCAACATGCAAAGTAATTTTCACTTTAAGATTAAAAATTCTTTTGTGCATCAAAAAATTTTCTTTATAACGTCCAGATAGTTATCAAATGTTTCTTAAGAAAAAACGTTATCTATGGTTCTCTGTAACAATTCTCTGTACGGGTTTGGTTGATTCGACTGATCTCATAACCACATTCAAAAAATTAGAAAATAAAAATAAATTATGCCTTTTTCATTCTAGAATGACTACAAATTATAACATGAAAACATAGATGTTTAGACTAAGTAGCGTAAATCTCGTAACATTATACATTTCTATATATTTATTATTTATATTATATTGACCTTTCAGCCATGCCTGGCTAACAATACAGAAATTACAATGATGCGGTGCACGTGCACTCACGTTACTGTATCCAATAATATATATAACCGACCTTTAGTCTTTTAAAAGTGACCTGTCTTGGCTGTGTTTTAGTACACTAGTATTTTGTAAAATACAGTCACATTTCAATTCTTATACATTATATATGTATATAGATTACTGCTATTTAGAAATAAATTCTTAAACTTATTTTTCTTAAAACACAGAACAGTAAATAAAGAAGTAAGGCACACAATTATCTCTTCCAGTTACGACCTTTGTACTTGGTTGCTGCTTGACGTAAGTTACTAAGCCTTTTAAAATTATGCATGTGGAGGATATGAAACAAAATAATTTTTTTAGGTTTATATATATATATATACAGTTGAATATACCAAAAATTAATAAATTACTATATCAATACAAATAGAATT